CTGTTCTGTCGTTCTTTACTAATTTTGCAGTCGTTTTGGGGATTTATTGGACGTTTCTTTGTCATTTTGGACGGTTTTTAGTCACTTCAGACACACTTTGAGCCGTTCTGTCCCTCCTCTTGTCATTCTGGACAGTTCTGGTGCAGCCGGTTGGTTCAGAGAGTCTGTTTTAAATCCGGATCGGACACAATGCAGCAGATGAATGTCAGAGGGAGGCAGGAGATAATGCAAACAGCGTTTCATGATGAAAGCCTGATTTCAGTAACGTTCTTCAAACATCGGCCGTCCATCACAGCGCCGGCGCTCTTTCTTCTCTGGCGCTGTGTTCTCTCTTTATCCTGGAGGGAAACTTTAGTCCCAGATACCTCAGACTGATTCCCTCCATCCCTCCCGTTAATACTCCAGCTCCCCGTCCTCTCCTCCTGCTTTTGAACCGGCAGTCTAAAGACGCTCACCTTCCTCGTCTGATTTCATGCTCGTCTCCAGCAGCCATAATTATCTTATGCAAATAGGATCAACAAACGAAGCGTCCCGTCCTGCTGGGCGACGGCTCGCAGGACGCCAAAAACCAAACTCATTAAAGGAGAACGGAGGTGCTGCAACACTCACCTGCCGTCCATCACAGGCCGGGGAGTTCCCTTCAGGCCTGGAGCCGCCTGTCGCTCCTCCACATGCAGCAGGAAGAAGCCGATTATTAAACAGCCCGATTCGTCTCCTGGAACTGCAGCAGGAAACTCTCCACCTTCTCCTCCTCCAGAAAACGAGCGCGGTTTGTGGAAGCGGCCTCATTAGTTTGTGCCGGTGAGCGTGTGAAGCTGCGGAGCTGCAGCTCAGTGTGACTCTGGCTAATGAAAAGCCTGAAGGGCCGTTTGCCTTCGGTCCGGCGTGGACGTTACGGCGTGGAGCAGCTTTAACGGCACAATGAGGTTAAAAACGGCCGACGGAGACCAGAAGAGCGTCTCAGCTGGGATCCTGTTGGTCTAAACGCTCCACATTCGGCTGTTTCTGGGTCCTTCAGCGCTAAAGAGCCGCTTCGTGCTGCATGTAGACGCTCTGCCAGCAGGAGTTTATCCACAAAGGAGCAGGTTTGACTTATTTCTGACGAGTTCCAAGTTGATTTGGGCTATCGCATCCAAATACCGGAGAATTTTTGCAAGATAACTCCAGAATGTCCTACGAAACATGTCCAGAGTGATAAAACAGTCCAAAAAGATTTGCCATTCATCTAAAACTACAAAACAAGCATCCAAAATGACTCAAAAATGACACAAATTCATCCAAAATTAGTTGACGCTTGTGCAGAATGACTCAAAATTCTTCCAAAATACTTAAAACTGTGTGAAAAGTGATTTAAAGAAGAACTACAGAATGACAAAGCAGTCCAGAACGACTTTCAGTTTATCAACGAATACACAAAAATTTCCAAAATTAGGAATAAATTTGGCCAAAATGAGAAAAAACTGAGCAGCTCTCTGACATGTTGGACAAAATCTTAAGATAAATTGGAGGTTGTTCTGCACTTTTTTGTAGTGAAGTCGTTCAGTCATGTTGGACTTTTTTTAAATTTTTTTTTGTCATTTGAATTAGTTTCAGGTCATTCTTAAACCATTTTTTCCATTAATTCTGGACAAGATCAGAGACATTTCTTATAGATTTTAAGCCATTTATGTCACTTTGTCCAAATCAGCTCTAAACTTGTCTGAAATTAGGTTAAAAAAATAGATTAAAAATCTTCAAAACACCAAAAAGAAAGTCCAAAATTACCAAGAAATGATCCAAAACATCAGAAAAATGTTCAAAAATGATTTTAAACTTGCTCAAAATAACAAATAAGATTTAAAGTCTGTCAAAAACAATTCTTAAAATGTTCAGAATGACTTATGATTTGTGCAACACGATTGACAAGCATCCAATATTATTAAAAAATCTTTAAAATGATTTAAAACTCGTCCAAAATGAGCTGAAACATTCACAGAATCCGTTAAAATGTCGCTCAAAATGACAGCAACCATCTAGAAGGACTTGGAATGAGTCCACAGTTCTTCCTTTTTACCTCTGAGTGTGTTTTCATGAACACACCAGATGTAATTTGCTGTTTTCTTTGTTCCTGCCGTTGTTTTAAGGTTTCCTGGCGCTGCAGCAGCGTCCAGACCGATTCGTGTTTCTGCCCATAAAGCAGGTGGACGCGTTGCAGCGGAGCGACGCTGTGAAGCTGCAGACGAGCAGAACTTTGCTCTTTAAGCTTCAGAATGAACGTATCAGACAAACACGAACCCAGGAGGAGTTTCAGACGTTGGCTCACAGAGCAGCTCTTTGTTTCGCTTCTTCTGCCTCCGATTTGCATTTTAATTCTGAGCATGAAGCACCTGGGGACAGGCGACGGAGAACCAGCTGCATCCAGACGCAGGAGCGCCGCCGAGTTCTGCTCCACAAACTCATTAACATGTTCTCCTCTCCATAAATATTCATGATTTTAAGCCAACGGATCGCAGCAGATTTGTTCCCGTTTAAAGTTTTTTCTGAATTAAACCGAGTTTGTTTCCCTTCGCAGGCCGACCCCAAGGAGCTGATCCGATTGGTCACCCAGCACGTGTCCTCCGGCTCCGATTGGCCGGAGGAGCTGCAGAAGCTGATTGGCCAGCTGCAGGTGTACAACGAGCGGCTCACGGACTTCACGCAGGCCCAGGTGCTGCAGGGTTTGGGCCGCGGCGTCGACGTGCACCGGTTCAGCTCCGACGGGGAGTACAAGAAGGAAACCATCCTGGGCCTGACCGAGTGAGTGTTTGTGCCGCCGGCCAATCGCTGGGCGCACAGGGGGGACGGGGGGATGGGGGGACAAGTGAAACAGGTGAGACAGGCCAATCACTGAGCACACAGGGGGGACAGGTGGGACATGTGGGACCGGGTAGGACGGGGGGATGGGGGGACAGGTGAGACAGGTGAGACAGGTGAGACAGGCCAATCACTGAACACACAGGGAGGACAGGTGGGACAGGTGAGACCGATGGACAGGTGAGACCGATGAGAAGAGCCAATCACTGAGCATACAGGGGGGATGGGTGGGATGGGTAGGACAGGTGGGGCAGGTGAGACCGATGAGAAGAGCCAATCACTGAGCAGACAGGTGAGCTGCAGTCAGACAGGTGTGTTTTTTCTTTTTCTGGTTTAAACAAGTGTTTCAGTGGAACGACCGTCTGCTGTGATGACATGAATCTGTGTGTGTGTGTGTGTGTGTGTGTGTGTGTGTGGTAGGACCCTGGATGACGGTGTGTATCGGATCGCTGTGTCTCTGGCGAAGCGCTACAGTGTTCCTCTGTGGGAGGTTTACATGACTCACCTGGAGTTCCTGTTCACAGACAGCGGGTACACACACACACTAATACACACACACACACACACACACACACACACACACACACTAATACACACACACACACTAATACACACACATTTCTTCAGTGTGTGATGTCGCTGCTTTATAAAAGTAAAAACAAACTTGAATTTTGCTCATTTTGGACCATTTTTTAAACAATTTCTGGTAAATTTAGACTTTTTTTAGTCCTTTTTCACAGTTTATGATTCATTCTGCTGGATTTGAGTCACGTTGGACGTATTTTAAGCTGTTTCGGACGTTTACTCTGAGTTTTCGATATAACATTTTATATAACGTTTGACTATAAATTAGACAGTTTGACTTTATTTAAATCAGCTTAAAACATTTTTTAACAGATATTTTCTGGATTTTTTTATCCTGAACCTCAAAGTATTCCACCGTTTTTAATTTTTTTTATTTGCTTGCACTCTTCCTACCAAATATTCACATTTTTTTTGTTTTTTTAATGTTTTTTATGACATTATTTCGTCGCTGTGAGCGGGTGGACGTAGAACCAGGAGCTGGACGATAGAAACAGTTAAACAGAACAAACACAGAACAAACTGCAGAAGAACCGACGTGAACCTCCGTCGTCTGAGCCTCCGTTCATCCTGACGACGCTCATAAACCTCCCACGGAGACGACGCTTCAGGATTCACCTCGTTTGGCTTCGTCTCATCCGCAGTTACTCAAAAAAAACCGTCTGAATCAGCGTCTGCAGCTCAGTTCGACGCCGTTCTCTTAAAATCGATGCAAATTTGCGCTGAAATCTGAGAAAGCGCCCCGTTTGTGGGCCGTTTGTTCCGATGCAGCGGATGGACGAATATGAAAGAGATGCAAACAAACAGTTTAACATTTCAAACAGTGGGTTTGAGCTGCAGCTTCACTCTTCTGTTCAGGAATAAAGCGTCTTCGGTGACTGATCCACAGCCAGCACCAAGAATCCTTTAAATCTGCTCACCTCATCTGGCACATTAAAGCTCAGCGCCTCCCGTAAACTGGCAGCGATTCACTGATCTGAGTTCTGCTGCGATGGAAGCAGCTGAAGAGGAGTTCTCATCAAGTCACTTCTACTTTACCGCTCATCAACCCTCCAGGCAGAGAAAACCACAACATAGAGCCGCACATTAGTGGAGAAACTGACTCGATGTGGAGTTTTTCTGCAAAACAAACACTAAAAAACACCGTTTTATGTTTTTGTAGGGACGAGAGTCTGCATCAGAAACTAAAGATCAATGGAAAAAAACAGATTAAATTCTTTTGGAGCATTTTTTTTTTTCAAACTGTTGATTATTTACTGCATGAATTTATTAGTGAAAAGGTGAAAAATGTGGATCAGAGTTTCCTCAAATGTCTCGTTTTGACCAAAGATGTTCAGTTTTCTGTCACAGAGGAAAGAAACCAGAAAACATTCACATTTAAGGAGCTGAAATCAGAGAAATTAGACAGTTTTTATGTAAATACTCAAAAGTGATGAATCACTGATCAGAATAGTTGGAGATTAATTTAATAGCTGACAGCTGATCCATTAGCTGTTTGCAAAATTATCATAAATAGATGCAGTTTGACTGCAGAGGCACTGAATCGACACACAGAGACACAACAACTTAAAAACAGAAAGAGAAAAAAATTATTACATCAGAAAAATGAAAATGACCATAAAAAGACACAAAATGTGTTTGAAAAGACACTAAATCACCACAAAAAGCTGCAGAATTGGCATAAAAAGACTCAAAATCACGACTAAAAGATGCAAAACCACCACAAAAAAATATAAATTGCCACAGCTGACATGAAATCACAAAAAAATATGCAAGGTCACTTCAAAAAGATGCAAAATCAGCACAAAAAGACTCAAAATCAGCACAAAAAGATGCAAACTCCCTTGAAACAGATGCAAAATGACCATAAAATACAAGAAATTAGTCTGAAAACACATAAAATCAGCACAAAGACACGAAATCGGCACAAAAACACTCAACACAGCCAGTAAAGAATGCAAAATCATCACAAATAAAACTCTAAATCACCACAACTGACATGAAATCACCAGTAAAAAATGCAAAATCATCACAATTAAAAGATGCAGAAACATCACAAAAAGACTCAAAATGACCACAACGGACATAGAATCACCTAAAAAGATGCAACATTACATCAAAAAGATGAAAATGACCATAAAAGACACCAGATGTGTTTGAAAAGACACTGAATCACCACAAAAAGCTGCAGAATCGGCACAAAAAGCGTCCAGATCACCACAGCTGACATGAAATCACCACAAAAGATGCAAAATCATAAAACGATACACAACATCACCACTGAACGACTCAGAACCAGCACCAGAACACGTGTATCCTCTGGTGTTTGACGGGTTATTGCAGGTTCTTTACATTCTTGCAGATCAAACCTATGACCAGTCGTCCAGTCGGCGTTGTGTTTTCAGACTAACTGACTCTGGATCAGTGTGAGGAAGCAGCTGCACGTCGCGTCCGTCGCTCGGCTTCCTCTGAACGCTGACGGCCTCCTGCTGGACGCTCGTCTGCACTCGCATTAGCAGCACAGATTGCAGAATGAAAACAGGAATCCAGCTCGCATCAGCTCGCATCAGCTCTGCCGGCGATGAATAATCATGAGCCGGCGCTCCCCCCGGAGTTTAATTCAGGCCCAGCGATTAGCGCCTCAATTAAACCGAACGAATATTAGCAGCTATTTCTGTTTGGACATGACGGATGACACAACAAACAGAATGTGGAGATGAGAGACGAGGAATCCTCGACCGGATTAGATCTCTGCAG